GCAGCTGCTGGAGGGCGCGGAGTTGGTGGCAGCGCCGAGGGCGACGGCGGCGACGCCGGCCGCGCCGCCGCCGTGGGCGGCCCCGCCCGCCGAGCGCCTCGCAGGCCTCGTGGACCTGACGCGGGCTCCAGTGAGAGGCCCGCCGCCGCCGTGAGCCAGCCTTCGAGTGCCGCTGACCTCCTCCTGGCTGCATGGAGGGAGCGCAGGGCGAGCTCCTCTCCCGGAGCGCAGGGCTGTCGCAGCGGCGACAGGTCGCGGACTCCTCCTGTGCGTGCCGAGCGCGGCGGAGCCCGCGCGCTTTTGGCACCCGCCGGTGTGCCTGCCGAGGGTGCGGCTCCCGCTGTGCCCTCCGCTCCTGCCACTGCGCGCGACGAGCTCGGGCATGTGCCGCAGCGGTGCCACGGTTACGTCGTGTGCAATCGGTGCAATGCGTACGCGCGCGCGAGCGCCTGGGCTCCTTCAAGGCGCTCTCGAGCCTATGCGCCCCAGACGAGGGTGATGCAGGTCGCTTCCGCCGCATTAGAGGCGATAGAATTCGCCGAGGTGTGCACCCGACCAGCGGTGCGCGCCTCCCTGACGCTGCAGCTGGAGAGGTGGCTGGCCTCTCGAGCTCGGTGGCCTCAACATAGGCTGCCTAGCTTCGCCGTGGCGCCGTGCCCTCGGTCTTCACCGCGCGGAGGTCGTGCCGCCCGAGGGGGCGAGAGGCGCCGCACAGAGGGGGGGGGCTGACTCCTGGAGCCTCCCCGCCTGCCCGCCGCGCAGGCAAAAACAAAAAAACAAAATGCGGGCTGTGGTGCACGCGGGCGTTGTGGTGTACACAGGCGTTGTGGTGCGCTCAGGCGCTGCGGTGCACGCATGCACTGTGGTGTACACAGGCGCTGTGTTGCACATGGTTGCTGTCGTGTTACAAGATCGCTGTGGTGTGCACCGGCGCTGCGGTGCACGCAAGCACTGTGGTGTACAGAGGGGCTGCGTCGCACACGGCTGCTGCGGTGTACGCAGGCACTGTGGTGTACACGCGCGCTGTGGTGCACGCGAGCATTGTGGCGTACACAGGAGCTGTGGGCAGGTCGCCACATACATGCTGCTCGCCTCGTCGAAGTCGTCGTCGTCGCTCGTCGCTCATCGTTGTCGTGCGCGTGGGCGCGGCTGTGGTGCCAGAGCCACACGGCGGGGGGGTCGTTACATTATACCCTTCCCTCGCCCCCCACCCTATGACGCCCATTATCGCCAAATAAAAAAAAAGCGCGTGCTCGAATCGGAGATGAAACACTGCGTCGGAGTGACACCAGGAAGGGTCTGGCAACAGTTTTTCAATGGACCTCACATGCTCCTCACGTCCCATGAGTTCCATAATTCCCCAACTTCTCTTAACTACCATACTTCCAATTATTCTGGAACTTGCCGTACTTAGTTCCCAGAACTCCAATGTTTCAAATGATTACCATACTTCCAAATCTGCCCATCATCCTCATACTAGCCATACTTCCCGTAGGTTCCACTACGTCCACACTTTGCATGATTCCCAACATCCGCATTCGTCCGTCCCCTACTTCCCATACGGCTCATAAGTCCCGTGTTTCCCATAATTCCAACAATTCCCATGCTTCCCACAACCCGCATCATTCCCTTCTAATTCCCATCATCACCCTGGTGTCATTCCCATAGACTTACGTCGGGCGTGCTCTTCTACAGGAGGAATATTCCAAGATAGTCAGGGGAAGATTTTTCTATGAAATTTGTTGTTCTTTTAGTTTTTGTTTGAGTATTGCGAAGGCCTTGCGGCCGGTGCCGCCGACCCTGAATGGCGACGACGACGACGACGACGACGACGACGACGACGAGCGCTCTTGGGGGCCTCTTGGGGGTAGTTTGTGGGCCTCTTCGGAAGCTCTTAGGGGCCGCTTGGAAGCCTCGTGGGGGCCTCTTGGGGCTTCCTGGGGGTCTCTTGGAGGGGGCCTGGGACGTCTTGGAGGCTTCTTGGACGGTCTTGGGGCTATCTTGGGCTTTTCGGCCGATCTTTGGGCGACTCGGGGCCCTCTTGGGCCGTCTCGGGGGCCATTTTGGGCATTCGGACCTCATTTGGAGTGTTTTCGAGGTTTCTAGGCCGCCCGAGGAAAAACGAATCTGCCCCCCCAACCCACCGCCCCACCCCCCCGGGACCCCCCCCGGGACCCCCGCCGGGACCCCCCCCCCCTGGGGAAGGGATCAAAGGGAAGGGGCTTCCCTTCGACTCGATTACGACACTGCTAGATTTTTCTCTCGCTCACGAGCTTGAGAAGGAAGCTGCAGGGAAAGGGGACGACGGAGGCGACGACCGTTTTTGTTTGAGTATTTTTCATTTGTCGGCCAAAATTCGCCTGTAGGGGGACATGCCCGACCTCAACATAGACCCGAGAACTCTCATGACCCAACGCATTCCCATACTGGTTCTACGAGGCCCGAAGACCACCTGAAGATGTTCGGGAAGGCTCTCTGGAAACACCAATTGTTGTCTCCGTGAGCGAGTGCCGAAGGGACTCCTGAAGATGTACTTCGAAGGCTTTCCGGGAACACCTTCAACCCCATCCCTCCTTCTTCTGCTCCCTCTCCTCCTCCTCCTCCTCCTCCTCCTCCTCCTCCTCCTCCTCCTCCTCCTCCTCCTCCTCCTCCTCCTCCTCCTCCTCCTCCTCCTCCTCCTCCTCCTCCTCCCTTTCCTCCCTCCCTCTCCTCCTCCCCCTCCTCCTCCTCATCCTCCTGCTCCTGCTCCTCCCCCCAAGAGGCCCTAGACAAGCTCCAGATAGGGCTCCGGTACGCTCCAGAGGAGACCCAAAGAGCCCCAGGAGGGATCATGGAGGCCAGAAGCTGATCTTAAGAGGCCCTCAAAGATGTTCTCCGCAGCCTCTCTGGGAACATCTTCGGGGCATCTATCCATGGGGCCCCCCACGGGTGGTCCGCCGCCACGACGCTTCCGAACTTTCCAGAGGCATCCAAAATCGAGATCGCAGTCGGGAGCGTTTGCGCTAAAACCAAGGCGATCGCGAAGGGCGCACGGCTTAGTCACGGTTCAGACCAACGATTGTGGCGGAAGCAGTGGGTGTAGTGACGACGGTGTTCTTCAGAGTTACAGCGTACTGAGATTGACCGTGGTGGCGGGCAGCCCTCGATCAGCTCGGACTAGAAAACAAGCACGTGAGTAGCGCGCGTGGTGATAGTGTGTGTGTATATGTGTGTATGTGTGTATATATACATACATGTATACATACATCTGTATAGACATATATATATATATATATAAATATATATATATATACATATATATGTGTGTGTATGCGCATATGTCATATGTCTAGAAATGTAATCATCTGTTTATTCGTATTCATATATCATATTCAAGTGGTTGACGCCGTTCCGCCGACCCACGAGGTTGGACCTCTTGGAGGGCTCTTGGGGGCATCTGGGGGGCGTTTCGGCGCTTCTTGAGGGCCCCCTTGGAGGCTTCTTGGGGCCCTCGTGGTGGCCTTTAGAGCCTCGTCGGGGCGCCTCGGGGGCCTCCGGGGGGGGTCTCTTGGAGCAATCTTGGGGGACATGCTCGAGACGTGAACGCCGTCTTGGGGCCCTCTTTGGGGCTTCACGGGCCGTCTTGGGGCGATCTTTGGGACTCCTAGGGCTGTTTTGGACGCTACCAAGACGAAAAAGGCCAGCACGCGACAAAACGGTTTCGCCCTAGAATTGACATGTTTTTCGCGTCTTGGGGCCGCCTTTGGCCGTCCTCTGGGAGCATTCCTGGGCCTTCTTCGGGGCATCGTGGGCTGCCTTCAGGCCATGTTCGACCGTCGTGGTGCTCATTGCCCTGGGCTGGATCGACGCTTTCTGGGGCTTTCTCGGCGACTTGTTTGGGCCCTCCTGGGCTCTCTTTGGAACCTTGTTTCTCTTTGTCTTAGCGCGCCGCGGCCCGCTGCGGGGGTGCGGCCGATCCCAGTCCGATTCCTCGGAGGAGGACAACGACACAGATACACCTCCCCCCTCCCCCTTCCCCCCCCAAAAAAAGAGGAGCACATTCCGAGCAGGAGAGGGCATAGAGGAGGACGGAGGTGGATATCCACGAACGTTCGGTGCCCAATCCCGATCCCGATTCCGTGCCGACTCGGCCGTGATCGGAGGCACGGTTCGATCCGACCCGACCGCCAGATGACCGACGCAAAGAAACGGGGTCGTTTGCGCCGACATTGGCGCGTGAGCTGCCCGCGTGAGGTCGCGCGTAAGCGCCCCGGCCTCCGAAGTGGCGTGCCGCGCCGGCGGTTCGCGTAAGCCACCGCGTAAGTTTACAGTGTCATCTCGCGTAAGACCCGTTATTGATCGCCGCCCATGTGTTTTTGCCATTGTTGGCGCCGCGGCGCCACCGCGTAGCCCCACGCAGGGCCGTCCCGCGGGACGAGCAGGCGCAGCGTCCGGTGTCCAGTGTCTCGTCCAGTGTGGAGTCGGGCATGTTCCTCTCCAGGAGGAGTGCCAAGAGATGGTCAAAACATAGTCCGTGGATGCTTGGTTTACTAGTCTTGACTACAGTGGAAACCCATGCCAAGAAACACTCTGCTTGCCTCCAGGGTGCCCTGGGTTTCTGGTGCTTCGATGGCTGCGCTGTGGAAAGCGTCCCCTCCACACGCCAAACATCAGTGGACGTCCTGGGGTCTCTAAGGGTTGGGCTTCTCGTGGAAGGTCTCCTGTGGTCGAGCTCCTGCTGTGGTGTTGTGCATGCCGGCCCTGGCCGCGTCGGGGCCGGAGGAGGATCGGGGGAGCGTAAGACCCGGGTTTGCCAGGACTCGGGTTCGCCATTTTTTTTTGACGACCGCGACTCGGATTTTGACGAGTAGAAGTTTCGTGGGATGTCTGCAGCGGGAGGCCTCGTCAAAATGCAGGCTCGGCCTCGTCATTTTTTGGACGACCTCGTCGGGGATTTCCGAGTCCCCCGTACCCGGGTCTTACGTCTCCCCGAGAGGAGGAGGACGAGGAGGAGGCCTCAGGCCAGCGACATGATCGACGGCCTGGAGCTGCTCGCCTCGAAGGAGGAGCGGCGGAGGCCGGCCGCGGGGGGGCCGACCCTCACGCGGGGGCGGACAGAACCCCCAACAGTGACACGCAAGGGCTCCCTCGAGGGCGCGAAGTTATTCGCGCTTCGCGGTCCTCGTTCCTTCTCCCCCTCCTCCTCGTCCTCCTATTCTCCCTTTGGGAGGGCGGCGCGAGAGCGCGAAGTTATTCGCGCTTCGCGCTTCGCGCAGCGCGAAGCGCGAATTTGGGAGCCCTAGATTGTCCGTTTTCGGTTCTCGAGAGGGCGCCGCGGCCGCTATTTTCCAGGCTTGCGCCCGCCAGGTTTGGGCCTCAGGTCGTGTTCACTAAACCACGTTTTACTCAAGGGGGGTCTGTCCATCCCGCAGCAGGGCCCCCCGAGCCCCCCCCCCCTCCCGGAGAAGGGAAGCAGCGCCAATCTCAGGAGGGGACACACACACACACACACATACAGAGACATAATGCATCGCTGGTGCCCAGGGAGGCAGGGGAACATACTTAGACGTCGGGGGGGGGGGGGAAGACGAAGACCCAGAAGGTGTGGGAAAGTGTGGGGAATCCTGGGATCTGTGCTTCTTTGTTTGTGTGTCCTTGGGCCCCTCCATGATCCAAACACCGCTGAGAAGCAGAGAACTGTGATCGTTGCTTTACTCATTGCTTTGCCGATCGGCGCGGGCCCTCCCCCCCCCGTGGAGTAGATCTTTTCGCAGTTTTTGGCGCCGGTTTCAGGCAGGTGGAGCCTCCCCAACAGGACACTGTTCCAAACAGCGGCACTAAGCAACGGTCCGGAGCCCCCCCCCCCCTTCCGCCCACCCAATATCGTAACGCCGAATAAGAAATCGCTCACAATGCATTGATTGCAATATCTGTGCTGAGATTTTTACTGCGTGTTGCTCGAGCTCCATCGATGTCATTGAACACTCTTTGGGGCAAGCCATGGACTGCCTATGCAGAGCCACACGCGTGAGCCAGAGCCGAGCCCCTCCGCCCCGAAGTCGGGTCCTGGTCAGGTCGGGCGGAGCGAGGGGGGGAGTTCGGGCTCGAGGTGAATTAGAGGTTTTCGGAGATGTTCGTCGGTTCTCGGCGGTTTTCCAGCTTCGGGATGCGCTCCAGCGGCTGCGCCTTGCCGAGAGCGTTCGGGGGGGGACGGGATCGCCCCGAACGGCCGCCGGAGACTTGAGTTTTGGTTCGAAAACCATATTCGGCGGCGCGCCTGGGGGGAAGTGAGAACGAGAGGTGCTTCTCAGAAGGCCTTACTTCTGAGAGGTCTTCGGTGTCTTCGAGGCAGGTTCAGGGAACTTCTCGGAAGGCTCTGGGATTTCTGAGCCTTCTGATAAGGCCCGCCCTATCTCTCATGGAGTACAAAAGAACCCCTACCCCAATTCACACGATGAAGACGTGGCCTCACTGAGGTCCCCGTCTTTGCCATAGGACTGAAACATCTGGACGCTTCGGTTCGAGACGTCCGCAGAACAAGAAGACCCCCCCTGTCCCTGACGTTGCTGGCCCTCCTCACTTTAGGTCCCCTCCCAGAGGGTCAGAGGTCCTTTTTTTTTTTGGTTACCCGTTCTCGCTTCCCCCCAGGCGCGCCGCCGATGCTCAGGAGGAAAAGAAACACACAGACACAATTAATCGGCGATTCCCCAGAAAATATGGGCAAATATGGGAATTGGGGGGGAAGACAAAAACCCAGAAAATATCGGAAAATATGGGGATTAATTTGATTTGTGTGTATTTATTTTGTGTGTCCTGGGGCCCCTTCAGATGCAGGGTCCCACGCCCTCTCGTGGCGAAGAGAGGTGCACGACCGCAGGGTTTTGGGACAGGCGTCGGGTCGGCCTCCCGGAGCCCCGTCCGGGCCCCAGGAGGCGGGCTCCGCAGGGGCGCCCCCGCGAGCGCGCAGCGATTTGCGCTGCGCGCTTCGGCTCCTCGTCCTCCTCGTCCTCCTCGTCTTCCTCGGCCTCCCCCTCCAATCCTCCTCCTCCTCCTCCTCCTCCTCCTCCTCCTCCTCCTCCTCCTCCTCCTCTCCTCCTCCTCCTCCTCCTCCTCCTCCTCCTCCTCCCCCTCCACTCCCCCTCCTCCTCCTCCTCCTCCTCCTCCTCCTCCTCCTCCTCCTCCTCCTCCTCCTCATCCTCCTCGTCCCCCTCTTTCTCCCTGGGGGCGGCGCGAGAGCGCGAAGCTGTTCGGAATTCGCGCTTCGCGCAGCGCGGAGCGCGAAGCTGGGCGCCCCTGCTCAGGATGTCAGAAGCTAGCCCCGGGGAGGAGGTCTGGACCTCCGAGTGTGCCCTCCCAGGGGTCTTGGACGATCTGTTTTTGTTCCAGTCCGGCAGCGCTTCCTCGCGTCCTGCTTCTGGCGCATTTTTGTCCGGCCCCAGTGCCATCAGACATGGATCCTCAGGATCCATGTCTGCTGGCCTTGCAGTTGTTGGTTACCTGCTGACCCGGGTCTGGATTGACCCGGGTCAGAAGGTCCTCGATCCTGGACGGAAGTTGCCTTTTGTGAAGGGGTTGGGGCCCCTTGGGCCGCGCACGGAAGACAGCACATCATCGGATGTCGGGGTTTGTGTCCCTTCCATTGCGCCTCGCGCCCTCCTGGCCAGCCACGAAGGACGAAGACGAGGACGAGGACGAAGAGGGAGGAAAGGTGGTGGAGGGGGGTACGAGGAGGACAGAAGACCAGAGAAGCAAGGTTTCTATTGTGGAGGAGGAGGAGGAGGAGAGACGTGAAATGAAGGGAATTGGGAAGAAAGCAGAGGGAGTAGCAAGAGGGGGAAGAAGACTGAGGAGGAAGAGGTGAGGGATGGAGGGGACCCCGGAAGAAGAGGATGAGGAGGAGGACGACGACGACGAGACGGAGGATGAGGCAGAAGAGGACGCAACGGATGAGGGAGATGATGAAGAGGACGAGGAGGTGCAGGGCAAGGAAAGGAGGCAGACCACGATCTCGAGGACGAGGATGGCGGGGGGAGAAGGAGGGAGGAGAAGGAGGAGGGGAACGGAAGCCGAGGAGGAGGTAGGGGAGGAGGAGCTGGTCGGGCAGACATCGCCGAGAGCCTCGAGCGGCTTGTTGTCATAATAGCCAAGTGAGACCTGGCTGGTGTGCCAGGCGCTGTCACCTGGCTGCGACGAGAGTGCCACGCACCTCCCAAAACTAAGGATACTCAATTCTGTTGGCTCCTTGGGGCCTTTTCGGGGAGCCCCCTTCGAGGCCCCCTGAGTCGTCTTCGGGACCTCTTGGGGCGCCTGGGGGCCATCCTCTGCGTCTCGGGGCGACCTTTCGGCGACTCCTGGGGCCCTCTCGGACCCTCCTGGGGGGCCTCTCGAGGCGCTCCTGGCCCGTCTGGGGGCCCTCTCTGAGCCCCAGCGAGCCGCGCGGCAGGACGCGGGGGAGCCCCCCGGAGGCACGCGCGGCAGGCCCACGGGGGGAGTCTGTGGACTTTTTTGGCCCGTGCCCCCTGAGAGACCAGGGCTATTCTCAGGAGGAACAGAAACACACAGACACAATTAATCGTCGATTCCCCAGAAAATATGGGCAAATATGGGAAGTGGGGGGGAAGACAAAAAACCAGAAAATATGCGAAAATATGGGGAATCTGTTTATTTGTGTGTATTTATTTGTGTGTCCTGGGGCCCTTTCATATTCGGAGGTGGACAGAACCCCCAACAGTGACGCGTCGATTAGTGAATTTGTCGTTCTCGGTTCTCGAGAGGGCGCCGCGGCCGCTATTTTCCAGGCTTGCGTCCGCCAGGTTGGGGCCTCAGGTCGTTTTCACCAAACCACGTTTTACTGAAGGGAGGTCTGTCCATCCCCGAGCTATGTCGGGCCTGTCCCCCCTAAAGGGGGATTTTCGACGAAAAACAGAAAAATTCAAACATAGGAAAAAAAGTAGTCCAAACATAGTCTGGGGACTTTTTTTGAGTACTTTTTTGGCCTTCTTGGGGTATTTCCAAACCATCCTGTGGTGTTGGGTCCTCGTTTTGAAGAGACGGTGCCCCGCGTCACTCCTCTCCTCTCCTCCTCCCCCTCCTCCCCCTCCTCCCTGCGTTTCACCCACCCAGTACAGCGCTTCGTGGCCCCATAGGGAGCTCCACCGAAGGCTCCAGTGGCTGCGTTCGCATGGCGGCCTCGGGCCATTTCGGCACACCCCTCACGAGGATCGTGGCCCCATAGGGAGCTCCACCGAAGGCTCCAGTGGCTGCGTTCGCATGGCGGCCTCGGGCCATTTCGGCACACCCAGTACGGCGTTTCGTGGCCCCATAGGGAGCTCCACCGAAGGCTCCAGTGGCTGCGTTCGCATGGCGGCCTCGGGCCATTTCGGCACACACCCAGTACGGCGTTTCGTGGCCCCATAGGGAGCTCCACCGAAGGCTCCAGTGGCTGCGTTCGCATGGTGGCCTCGGGCCAGTTCGGCACACCCCTCACGAGGATCGTGGCCCCATAGGGAGCTCCACGGAAGGCTCCAGTGGCTGCGTTCGCATGGTGGCCTCGGGCCATTTCGGCACACCCCTCAAGAGGATCGTGGACCCATAGGGAGCTCCACCGAAGGCGCCAGTGGCAGCGTTCGCATGGTGGCCTCGGGCCATTTCGGCACACCCAGTACAGCATTTCGTGGCCCCATAGGGAGCTCCACCGAAGTCTCCAGTGGCTGCGTTCGCATGGCGGCCTCGGGCCATTTCGGCACACCCCTCACGAGGATCGTGGCCCCATAGGGAGCTTCACCGAAGGCCCAATTGGCAGCGTTCGCATGGCGGCCTCGGGCCATTTCGGCACACCCCTCACGAGGATCGTGGCCTCCACCGAAGGCGCCAGTGGCAGGGTTCGTATGGCGGCCTCGGGCCATTTCGGCACACCCCTCACGAAGATCGTGGCCCCATACGGAGCTCCACCGAAGGCGCCAGTGGCAGGGTTCGCATGGCGGCTCGGGCCATTTCGGCACACCCCTCACGAGGATCGTGGCCCCATAGGGAGCGCCACGGAAGGCTCCAGTGGCTGCGTTCGCATGGCGGCCTCGG